TAGAAATGATTTGGTCTTGTTTTAATCCGCTAGTCAATGTATTTCAATTCTCTTTTAGACTCTCTTTCCTAATTTCTTTGTAATTTATAGAAAATGTTGTAATTGTGGACGAAACTTCGGAAGCCGATGAAAAAATGGAAACTTCTGTTGGTGATACGACGAATACCGAACAACTCACGAGTACTGGCGAAGCTGAGCCGAGTAAAGTTTCAGATGATGCTAAGCAGGTACCGTGCGAAGAGTCTCCGCGTGGGGATTCCTTACGCGATTCCCCACGCGAGGACGTGGACTCCCCACGCGAGAATGTGGACTCCCCACTCGAGGACATGGACTCTCCATGCGAAAACGTGGACTCCCCACTCGAGGGCATGGACTCTCCACGCGAGAACGCGGGCTCCCCACGCGAGGACGTGGACTCCCCATGCGAGGTCGTGCATTCCACGCGCGAGGACGTGGATTCTTCGCGCGAGGGGTTCACGCGCGAAGACCACGAAACACCGCCGCCAACTCCACGACAACGCTCGCGAAGTATAGGCGAAAAACTGGAAGACAAATTGTTAGTTAAACAGGGTAAGTTTGAGAGCTCAGACAATTTAAAAAAAGTAAAATTGCGAGGGCGAGTAAAACGACGGGAACGTAAGGCTAAATCCGACCTTCAGCTTTCGGGTAGCGGCTTTGTCAAGAGACATACTCAGATTATCGAGGAACAAATGTTATTTAGTTTGCTGATGAATTCTGATGAAACACTAGCTACACTTGCTGTCGACTTTTGGAAAAATAATGGTGGGGATAATAGCAATAATGGCAAACAGAATGCTGGTTGCGAAGCACAATGTTCGGGAAAAAATCTGGATTTAGAAAGTACGATAACTTTCGTGACTACGGCGACCGATTCGGAGAAAAATTCTGGGAACCAGTTGGAGGAAGATAGACAGGTTTATGAGAAAAATTCTGAGATTTCTGAGGCTGAAAAAGATTGCGTGAAATCCACCGAGGACGAGTGCTGTAGTTCTGAGAATTCAAAGAAAGAATGCGATTCAAATTGCGAGCAAAACTCGGCGCAAGTTTCGGAGAAAATTTCTCAAAATAGTCCGGAGAATTGTTCTGGTAAAAAGAGGTGTCAAGAACTACAAGACATCGTTCAGGAAGTGAACGCGGAGGCAAAGCGCGACATAGCGACACAATCCGACACAATAAGGACAGTGGTTGTATCTCAAAATGAATTACGTCATACAAGTGAGGGTGATGACGTCACCATTGACCAGATGACGTGGATTGATCTAACTCAACATCACGGTGATGTCGTTAAACGCAGATCTGCGGCGTTTGAGAATAATGCGAAAAATGGAACAAAGGCAAGTTTGCCGCAATCACCGCTATCACGTGATAATTCGCCACCATCACGTGATGACCATGAACCGAACACGTGTCAAGAGCGTGAACAGACACAGGGAAACCGTATGGATGACAATACGAACTCAGAATCTGTTTCTCATGCGACAAACAAGGATGTTCCGAAACTCGATTTAGGTGATTTAGCGAAAGATGAATCTCTAATGCAAAGATCTAACAGTATTATCGTGGAAGATTATAATTCCTGGGAAGCGTCAAGTGTCCAAGATAGAACGAGAATATTGGAAAATATTATAGCTAAGACTGGCGGCTCGTTTCCTTCACCTCGTTCGAGAGCTAGACAAGATAAACTTTCGAATTCTGAGGTCGAAGAGCAATTACAACCAAGGATGAATGAGTTGAATATCAACACAAGTTCTGAAGCCGACGAGGGCGGTAAATTTCATCACTCACATGGCGAAGATCGGGAAGCGTCGTGTCCCGTCGAAAAGAGATCGGAAGAACCCGGTGATGACAGTGTCTTCGGTGATGCACCTGTAAGAAGCTTGGTGGATAAATTTGAAATCTGGGGGTAGTGAGTAGAAATTAGGGGTAGACTTGGGATATTTAGAGGGTAGTAATAATAGACCATTTCCGAGTTACGATCGAATGCCCAAAGACTGGTAACTAGCTGAGCAACATGCTTCGTGCATAATTGTGATGTTTCTTTAGTAAATTTTTCACGAAGCCTCAATTTTATTGTTCTTGACATTAGAGCGTAATTCGGAAATGTCCATGTTTACGTGAGAATATACAATCGCATTTAACCAAATTTAAACCCAAATCTCAATAATTCAGTTTGGTAAAGGGGCAATGTTTTGGCCTTGGAAATACGTTTTCTTACAGTTGTGATAAAATTTTTTGCATGTGTTAAATTTACGAAATATCTTGATATTGCTTCTTTGAAGAAGAATAATTATGACACTAATTGTTACTAACTAAATTATCCAGACTAATCCAGACTATTATATGCATAGCTTATTCGGTAAAGCAAAAACCTACTAGGTCCACTGAACCAAATTGTTAACAGAATGTGTTCGCACCGCTTGCTCTCAGCTTGATGACAAGTTGTCAGCGGCTTCTTGACAACTTGCTACAAGGTTGTTGAGCTCAACAGACTTGTTGCAAGTTGTTCCAACAACTTGTTATCGTCCTGCAATTCATCAATTTGTCAACAAGTTGTGAGTGACAACCTTGTAGCAACGTGATAAAATAACAGCGTTATAACAAACAAGTTGTAACAAACTTTCAGCAGACTTGTAGCAATGCTGTTCCAAGAACACGTCAACAGGATGTGTTCGCACTGCTTGTTGACGAGTTGTCAACGACTTGTTGACAAGTTGCTACAAGGTTGTTGAGCTCAACAGACTTGTTACAAGTTGTGAGTGACAAGCTTGTAGCAATTTAATGAAATAAAAGTATTGTCACAACTTGTTGACAAGCTTGCCACAAGCCTGTCGCGAACACATTTTGTTGACAAGTTGTGAGATTTGTACGTGTTTAGTGTATAGTTAGTTGACTGCGTACGTCCTCTCGAAGAGCCTTCGTTGAAGTGTTTTTCATTTTTCAGGAAGTTCAGACACAAACCACGACAGCTAGTTGCAAAACATTACCTATACTGGACCACCACGTTTTATAATACAATCACAGCAAATCATTGTAAGAAATTAACCAGTATTTCTGTTTTCGAAATATCCAACGTGCATGAAAAATAATTTTATTTTAATAATCCAACTAATCACTGTAGGACTTTTTATTTTTGTACCAAGTTTCGTAATAACATTGTAGTCGTTGACGCAATTTAGATTAATTTGCTACATTGACGTTTTTTTTATGCAAATTTAATACCTAAGAAGTTAGGTTAGTAAATTGTGTCTTTGTCGAGATAACGAATAATTAGGGCTTATAGAGTTTATATTCTGAAGGAAAATAGTTTGTTAAAATTGGCTGTAAATAATTGACATTAAATTGTTGTAAATTATATTGCGCGTTGTTTTTGAATGATAGACTTTAATTGCTGAGCTAACCAACTACCTCATCATGTTTCTCTCATGTGCGGGTAGTTTTCGTGGGGATATTTAACCTCTTGAGGCAAATATCTATCGTGTTTGATATTTTTCACCTCGCGAGGAAAAAATCTCAACGTCTGCGGATGGTGACAGCTTAGTGCTGACGGTTTAGTGCCAACGTGTTCGGTGAAAATGTGTGGGGCAATAAATGGTAAACTCTATGGACCTTTCTCCTTATAACTAAAATTTCGATCTAGACAAAAATTTCATCACAGCTTGAAAGAGCATCACAAAATTAGTAATATTCCAAAGTTTCGTTGCGAAATGTTGTAAAATGCGGATAATATAGCCTTGCGAAGTTTGCCGTTTTTCAGTCATTTTGTATTACGCACGGGAAATTGACATCCGATTCGGGTGTTGGGGCTGCAATTTCCCGTTTGTAATGCAAAATGACTGAAAATTGCAAACTTCGCAAGGCTATATTATCCGCATTTTACAACGTACATTTTGCAACGAAACTTTGGAGTATTACTAATTTTGTGATGCTCTTTCAAGCTGTGATGAAATATTTGTCTAGACTTGCCTAGATCAAAATTTTGGTTATAAGGGGAAAGGTCTATTTCAAATATGGAATTGTATTCGTCGCTATATACACAGGCGCCCAACATCAATAATTTCGAGTGGCCTATTTATTAATATAAAGATATACTATTAATAGATATATCATTCTGAAACTGGCCAATCAAAGTTGATTGATTTTCGTATATTTCTAATCAAAATAAGTTTCCAAGCTAGGTTTTTTCATTTACAGAGTTTTTCATTTACAGCTGTGGAATCTTTCCAATAACCTGATCAAACTTTCCTTCAAATATGCTTTCAAGTGTAATAATTTCATATCAATCCAATATGCACGAATTTCCAATGTCATTACATTAATGTATTGCTGCAGGCAAATGATTGATTTATAGTGGAAAATTGGCTATGCATAATTGCTCATAATTCACAGCAAGCCAGTTGATTATTATTGATAATTTAAATAACTGGCCATAATTGCGCTTTTCATAGAGGGACGTTTATTCATTTTGCATGCTCTACAATTTAAGAAAAACACAAATTGTGAGGACATTTATTTTCACTTTATGATTGAGATCTGTGCGGGGAACGCGCGTTCATCTACTGTCCATTTGAAGTCAAAACTCCTATGTAAGTATAGCAAACATTTATTTCCTGCATTTACTAAACTTCAATTATATGACATTTCATGCAAACGTCGAAGTCCAGTGGGGCAGTGTAGGACGTATTCTATATAAGCTGGACCCTATAGTTTGAGATATCATTTAAATTATTTTTGACGAGTGAAATTTAATTGAATGAAAAAATCAAATAAATTGAAAAATGTGAGCAGGCATTTGGTAGGGTTTTTTTCACGGTTTTTAATAAAAATTTTCACCTCGTCTAATAAATTATTAAGAAATTAATCTTGCTAATATCATAGTCTTCCTTTTAGAATTTATATTTAAACGTGAAAGTGATTGCGTTGCCTTCACTCTAGGTTTGGTGTGCACCAACTTATAAGAAGCTGCAAAGAAAATTGGAAAAATGAAAGTTCATTATCTGTTGGTCCTTTTAGTCTTCATAACTACTATTCCATTCGCCAATCAATCCAATGTTGCCAATGTAAAAGTCTCACCCAAAGGACAAGCCACTCACAGCCGAAGAATCCGTTCGACAACTGCTTTCATGTGCAGCAATCTAACGAGTTGCTCTGGGCGGTGCTCAAAGAAACGAATGTTTCATAATATTAAAGATAGCAGGAACAAATCAGCGTGTTACTGCGACCCGGAATGCGACAAAGTCTTCACGGACTGTTGCGCTGACTACGTTGAGAAATGCGGAAAGCACAAAAAAATGCCGGTTAAGAAAATATCGACAAAATGGTCTTGTTTTAAGAGGAAAGAATATCCCTTTAAACTCTGGATGGTCGACGGGTGTAAAATAAACTGGCCCAAGAACGATTCCAATGTGAAATATTGTGCTTTGTTCAAAGAAACCTATCCTAAAGCATCTTGGATGACTCCGGTTTTTGCCTCCAAGACGACATATCGGAATCGTTATTGCGCTCTGTGTAATGGAGTTACAAAATTTAAAAGCTGGAAGTATGAAGATATTGAATGTATAAATAAACGCCCTAAGAGGAACACAGAAACGAAATTGAAATACTATGATAAATACTGCGATGCGTCCACCATTAAATTTAAAACTCGAACGCGCGGTATACGATATTGTTATGACGTGATAAAGTTTTGTAAATACTACCACGATAAATCTGCCTCCATGGATTGCGCATTTGGGGCTACCGGTTTGCTGAGCTCTATTCTAAGTACATACAAAAATTTTGGCTGTCTTACTTGTAATAGAAAGAAGAAGAATCCAGCTGTGTCTTTTACTTGCGGTCCGAGGAAGGGCGGCACTAAGAAATATGTACCATTGTCGACCATTGTAGGTGGATATCGCGTGGACTTCACTGTCAACCAGAAATCGCGATGTTCCGAGGGTCAAATCTACGACAACGTAGCTAAACTCTGCCGTAACCTTCTTGTCCATAATACCACCACCTCAAACAACTTCTTACAACAGCTTGCTGTCCGTCTTACATTTGAACAAACTAAAACTCCTTGTTCGAAGGAGATTAAGAACGAAACTACCTCAAAGTATATACGTGAAAGTTTCCTCACTGTTTTGAAGGAGAAATTGAACATGTACCAAACTCTTCAAAACACAAGCACACAATGGCGTTTCCACGATTTAGATGTCTATTTGGACGCCAACAACACCATTGTTACTTTTAAGATCCTACGAGCCCCGTCTCTTAATGAAACATTGGAGCTGAATTTTTTCAAGAACGAGTTAAAAATTGGGAAGATCGACGTCAATGGACTCGAAGTTCAATGTTTGTTTTGGCAAAATTGGATATGAAGGAAGCAACTTGTTCTGATAATAACACTTATGCTGTAAATATTGACGAGTTAGAGTCCCGGAATGGCAGTATATATCTGAATACAACCCGGACGGAGTACAGAGCAGGGGAATATATACTTTACCAGTATATAAACGAGACCAGAGCAGCATTGTGTCGCGATTCAAAACCAGCAAACTGTTTGTATTATCTTCAAGTCAAGAATCAAAGCCATTGGAAGAAATTTGACAACAGATCCATTTACAGCTTGGTCACAAATTCCTGGTTCCACTATGGTGAATATTCGTTGGTCAATGGTAGTCTATGGTTATGTTTAACAAAAGATTATAGAAAACTCACTCGTAGCACTTTAGCGAAGCCTAGATCGATACATTACACCATACTAGGTTATGGCACTACAGTTAGTTTTTCGGTATCAATCGCAAGCTTAACTAGTCTTCTTGTAGTCTACTCCATGTTTTCTGAATTAAGGAATCTTCCTGGTAAGAATCTAATGCTGTTCTCTACTATCCTCGCTCTAGCTCAAACTGCTTGGATAGTTCAGAGTACTATCGTCTCTAAATGGCCTGGTTTCTGCCCTACATTCAATGTTTCTATGCAGTTCTTATTCTTGGCATCATTTTCCAGTTCCCTGTCAATTGCAGTTCACTCTTTCTTAACTTTCAATGCTTTGTCCAAAGGCAAACTAAGGCGAAGGTCTGAGGGTGGTTTATTCCTAAAATACGCGATGTTTGGTGTAGGGCTACCATTTCTGTACGTGATTGGTTGCTTAATTCTGGACACCAATAACGTGGTACCATTCAATTATGGTACTTCAAATGGTCATTGCTGGTTTGCAACAACGAGTGTTCTATACATCGGGTTTTTATACCCAGCCTTCTTTCTCTTGCTTTGCAGTATGGCTGTCTTCTTTGCAACCCTAAGAGTTATCCACAAATGCACTAAAGCTAGTCAAAAGTTGGCAGAAAAATCTGGAGGTGCAAGTAAAAAACATCTCGGTATATTCCTACGTATGTCTACGCTCATGGGCTTCACGTGGCTTTCTGCTGTCTTCCATATTTTCTGCCCTGATGTGATTGCTTTTGAGTACCTTTTTGTTTTCGCGAACGGGTTCCAAGGTCTGTATTTGGCATTTGCTTTTCTTTCTACTGAGAATGTTAGAAAGATTATTTTAGGCAGAAAAGGGAAGGAAATGAATGGCTCAACCTCAAGTGTCATGATTAAACGAGACATGTCAACGACAAATATGTAACTGATTATTTCTCAAACTCATTAAGAGGACATTTTTTGTATGTTACGTAACACGCGCTCAAAACTAATGAGTGTAATATATTACTTGCGGCTGTTACTACCGATTCAAAATTTTTATTTTTCGATACGTTTCTCAATCGGCAAACAAACTTAAAAAGTATGTTTAGTCCTTTATCTGTAAAATAATGCTAAAATGAAGATATTTTAGATGATACGTCAAAGAGAAAATTATGTGTGAAGTTCAGTAAGTTTTACTTATATTGCTGTAAATATGGCGGCACTTTTAAAGCGTCATTGACATTGATAATTGTATTTTATAATTGACAATTTTTTGCTATTATTTGACGTTTCTCAACCGGCAAAATGCATTTAAAAAGGTCGCTAATGCAGCTGCTAACTGTATAAACTGGAGAATAGAGTTAAAACAAAGCAATTTAAGAGATACGCCAAGAGGATTTTAGGTTTTGAACACTTCTCATCGCAAATACGTCACATAGAAAAAAATTGCCTCTTAATAATTATTCAGAGAGAAACATCGAGTCGCATTTAATTTCTCTTTAAGTACTCGTTCGTTTGAGAATTAAGTTCAAATTATATGTTATAAACCTTAATTTTAATCGTAAATATATATTATACTGTAATACATTAGATGGAATAAAATAAAATTCCCCAAAAGAGTTTTTCGTTGTAATTTATGCGTTATTTCGAGTCGATAATGAGTTTGCCGTTTTTCAGTCATTTTGCATTACAAACGGGAAATTGATGCAGTTTGATCATCTGACAAAATGACTGAAAAACGGCAAACTTCGCAAGGCTACAATATCCGCATTTTACAACATTTCGCAACGAAACTTCGGAATATTATACTAATTTTGTGATGCTCTTTCAAGCCGTGATGAAATTGTTGTCCAGACATATCTAGATCAAAATTTCACTCATAAGGGGAAAGGTGTATTGTCTATTGATAACAATATAGTGGCGGCGTCCAGTCACGTTCCAGTGATCTAAATATACTTCGGTCTTTTCATTGTTTTAAAAACATTTCAAGCTCACGCGAGTTCAGCTGTTGCGTTTGTCAACTAAAATTAACGTTCACAAATGTTACTCAGAAGAAAATTATTTCTTTTATATAAACCAGTGTAAATATTTGGAAACAGGACAGCAGCTGAATAAAGATATGAGGAAAATGCATTTTGATAATTTTTTGTATACAGCTATTTCAATTAAGGTTGTCCCCGAGCAAATTAAGCGGAAAGGTCGAATACGAGCGCGAATTAGCTTGCTGGGAATCGCTAAAAAATTAATGAATTCTTTAGCGATTCCTTTTTTGCGCTCGTTTTCGACTTTTCCGCTTTGCTCGGGGACAACCTTAATTAAAACTGTCTGTACCAGTGTGGGTATAGTACCAATGTGAAAATGCTGTGCTGAGTGGTTATATTACTACCTTAAAAAATAAGCAGAATATTCAAAATATTCTGCTTATTTTTTAAGGTAGTAATATAACCACTCAGCACAACAACCTTAATTACCCTTTCTCACGCCGCCATTTTTGGGTGGCATTTCAGCCGAAGTCTGCGAGATAAGTCCACATAACAGCGACTTTTTATAATTTTTTTCACGAATGATGGTAAATTTGCTTTGTAAATGGTTAGTTTATTTTGAAAAGTTGCTTTTCACATTGTTTTAATTGTCTGCATTGGTAAACGAGAATTAGATGCCACCCAAAGTGGATATTCGTCATCGTGAGAAAGGCTAATGGACCATTTGCATTATAAACTAAATTTTGATCTAGACAAAAATTTCATCACAGCTTGAAAGAGCATCACAAAATTAGTAATATTCCAAAGTTT